GTAATAATTCAACTGTAAACCTAAAAATTTACAGCCAATTTTGAAAGAGATGCATCCTACCTCAGGAAACCGTTATTGAATTGTGTTGTAATGATATGCTTCTTCTAAGTATGTTGTTATTAAATAAATCATTAAAAAAAAAAAAAAAAGAGTTTAAATACTTGCCTGGCAGGGGAGATACCATGATCAAAAAGGTGGTTTTTCCCAGGGCAAGTCTTATCTATTACACTCCAGATGCGCTGACCCCTGTTGTGCTGGATAGCTTTAGTGTCAACTTGACACACCTGGGTTGAGGGAACCTCAGTTGGGGAATTTCCTCCATAGGACTGGCCTGTGCCCATGTCTCTGGGGCATCTTCTTGATTGTTGAGCAATGTGGGAGAGCCCAGCCCACTGTGGGTTGTGCCACCCCTAGGCAGATGAGCCTGTTTTGCATAAAAAAGCAGGCTGAGCAGGGGCCAGGGAGCAAATCAGTAAGCAGCAATCCTTCATGGCCTGCACTCCAGGTTCCTGCCCTGAGTTCCTACCTTGGGCTCCCTGATGAACTGTGACCTGGGAGATGTAAGAAAAATAAACCATTTCTTCCCCAAGTTGGTAGTGGTCAAAGTGTTTTGTCACAGCAGTGGAGAAACAAATTAGAACACCTGTGATTTCCCCAAATGCGGGCAACTCAACTGCATAATTTGTGGTAGTGGGGGACTGCATTCACCCTCTCTCATGGGGAAAAAAAGAGTTTAAATAAGAGTTACCCTAAATGGGAGAACAATGCCCTTGCCTGATACCATAGGCTAACAAATAAAACTCCCAATGTCAGGAATGAACTTCCTCTTTTGGAACTGTTGACCAATAGTCCCATGGACCCATAAACAATACTGGTCTCTGCTCTTGATTACTCACTAGAACTTCATGACAAGATTCTATTTCTGAAGATACAACATACATGAGTCACAGAACAAACAAGGGGAAATCACGTTGGTATTGACCTCAAAGTTTCATCTCTACTGACTATCTTTCATAACGGTAGAAAGTGTTATGCATGTTACTGGAATAGGAAAGCAATCATCAACCTTCCTCAGCTGTGAACCCTGAAAGCTACAGCAACAACTGGCCTGGCAAGATATTCCCACTGGTACAATAATGGCACAAATGTTCTGTTACTAACCAACCACTCTCTGAAGGAATTTAAATTCTACTTCACAAGATATAGCCCATATCTAGTTCTGATATTAGGCCTAAGAACCTGTAGCTAGACAGGTCACAGAGCATAGAGAAGAATCTACTACTATTGTTCTGCTAAATGGACATAGTATCAAACCAACTCATAATAGCATATTTTTATATCCATAGATAAATGCATCTCTCAACTCTCACCAGAGAAACTTCTTGCAGCAGATAGTGATTAACACAGAGACACACAAATACTCAACATGTAGAGTTATAGACTGCTAAATTCTTATCCATGAATGGGACACCTGCTTCAAACCCTTGCCTTCCAAGGCTCAGGGGACATTGCAGAAGACTTTAATAGCTAGATGTGGCAGATGGCTGTAAGGAAACAGTGTTCTCTAGACAGCAGGGCAGTCACTCTATGAGTTCACAGCAATGGTAACAACATGCACAAGACCTACATAAACTCAAGCCAACAAATTCCCAGCACAGAGGTGGGGAGGAGGGTAAAAAGCCCCAGACTTAGCTGAGGAACAATTGGCAACTGACAGCTGCTAGAAGAGGGAGAGTCAGTTTTCTTTAAGAGTGTGACACTATGTAGGCTCACCAGGCTCACTGAAGGGCATTTGGGAAACAACTTAGACTCAACAGGCCTTAAAAAAACAAGAATAGGGTACATGAAATCAGATGGAGGGATAGTAAGAGGGTACAGATAAATAAGGAAGGGGGTCTGGATATTATCAAAATGCAAGTATAAAATTCTCAAAAAATATAACAAAAGTATTTTAAAATGTGAGTGAATTATTTCGTTTTTTCATACTGTCCTTAAAATCCAGTCTGTGCTTTATACTCACGGCACATCTCAATTCATATGAGCTACATTCCAAGCACTCAGTAGCTATCTATGATTTGAGCCATCTATGCATTTCATACGGTTTCTCTAAGAACAGATACATAACAATTTCTGTTAAGAATTCAAATGTTAGTCTAGCATTTGACCCTCTGGATTTTGCTCAGCAATACTCAGTATCTTTCAACATCAGTTATCACAAATGTTGACCAGCTTCTATCTCTAACCACTTTTGAATCTTAAGGCTCTGAAGTAGGCTTAAAAAGAAAATAAAAAGGCATAAACTAAAAATAAAATAGTAAAGCATTTAACAAATTAGGATGACTTCTCAAAAATAATGTGATTTTAGACAAAACCATCAACAGAAAAATAGTTCAAGTAAGGTTTTGAAACTCATTCAGGGGAATATTAAACATTATTTGGAAAATGTGTATAGTGTGGCTAAGGAAATACAGAATTTAAATACAAAAGTGTAGAAATTTCAAAATTGAGACTTTATAGTATAGTGGTGGTCTTACTATTTTTATAAAATCTCCTAAGTGTTTTAAATATCTTTATATCATTTAAAATAAAGAACCTCATTCAATTTTATTTTATAGGGTTTATACTGAGTTCAATATTGTATAACAGTATTAATTCAACTGTGAACCTAAAAATTTACAGACACTTTTAAAAGAGATGTACTCTTGCTCTGGAGTGTGTTACTGAATAAATATAAAACTTTGGGGAAAATGAAATGATCAGCATATGTGGATTAATTTGTTGCCTTCACACTCATTATTTTATCTGAGCATCAAGAATAAAACCTGGAGGGAAAGTCAACTCAGCAGGACAATGAAATAAGACAACCAGGCTTTATTCCCCAACCCAAGGAACAATGAAATAGCTATCAATAAGCAAAAATAACTACAGAAATGATCAGGAGTCCACTTAAGAAGGTAGAGCAACATGGCAGAAGTTTTGTTTTTTTTTTTTTTAAGTTAAGAATTACTTCACCAACAGGGATAGGAAGAACAACTTCATCTCTGTCTCTTCTTACCTCTAGGGCTAGGAGTGCTCAGCGCAGAGAAAGAATGCTGTAACGTGCAAGTTCTTCTCCCAGAAGAGTGGTTAATAACCACTTCCCCAGCTTTTCAGGACACAGCTTGATGGTCAGAGACAGTTTCATCCCACCCATAGTGTTATGGAGTGCTAGCTGAGAAGTCTGGATGAGCAATCAGGATGAGAAATCTGGGTGAGCGCTGTCATGTTCAGACATGTGATAGGGCCATCATGGTTCCTGTGGCCTGCTCTGCTCAGGGCTCCAGCCACCTTCTCACTAGGGCCCTCAACATCTCTTGGAGCCCCTGGACGACATTCCTAGATTTCACTATCATGGATCCTAAGTGTCGAGTGAAGGTCATAGATCCACAGAAGACTCCAGATGCTTTCACTGCTGAGGAAACCAACAGCCAGCGCAGCTACAGGGAAGTCTCATCATCTTCAATACGAAAACCTTGCACTTTTCTATCCTAATAGCATCCAGGATTTGAGCCACCATCCCTCTCCCTCTTCATTGCCTGAACCATCTCTGCATCTGCTGACCCAAGCACACGAGCCTAGGGAATCAGCACAGTCACCCACACATGTCTATCTATGAGCTCTGGCCTCCACAGAGATCCCAGGCTCCCAACCACACATACACTTATGCCTGACTCTAAGCCATAAACCCCGTATCCTTAGCCATCCACAAACATGCACATGTGCACCACAGCCTGGGTTCTGGCAGCTATGCCTATGTGTGACCCAAGTTACTGACCCAGCCTGAGCTACTTTTTGTGCTTTGTCTCAAAATAAGCAAACAAAGAAAAAATTTTAATGGTTGGGAATATATCCTAGCAAGCACAAGGCCCTAGGTTCAATTCCTAAAACAGGGAGGAAGGAAGGAAGGAAGGAAGGAAGGGAGGGAGGGAGGGAGGGAGGGAGGGAG